TTAAAAAAAAAAAAAAAGAAGACTCAACCGAGTCATGTATTCTACACGTAAAAATTAAAGCGTTTTTATGACCAGGCATGAGAGCTAATGAACATTATTAAGCAAGAGTCATATAAAACAATACTAACAACCCTCCCACCCACCAGCTATTCTTAACATGCTAGTTAAAGACATCCCTTTACCCACCCACCCTCACCTGCATTGACAGTAGGGGAAAAGGAAAAAAGAAACAACTTACTACCCGAAAAACAAGAAAACCCCACAAATGTGAAAAATCTTCCTCTGAAACAACTACACAGACTACTAGAAACATAAAGAACTATTAGAGCTGTTTATATAAAGAAAGTAAACAATTTACTACACACGCCAACATTCAGCCAGTGTGCTCTGAGATAGCCTTAGGAAAAATACTACCTGAGCTCGAAAGTTAATACAATCATTAAAATGAGGTCTAAGACCATGTGGATACAAAAAACTTTTAGAACCATTACTGGTTAAATGATGACGGAAAACATCCCACCAGGCTGGCTTGTTAACCCGTAAGATCAGTTTTAAAAATAGACATTGTTGAGGTATTTCTTCACTGTGACATTTATAAACCCAGCTCACAATTTACTAGAGTGGTCTTAGGATCCTCTCTTCCAGTCAAACCAAATATTAACCACAGAAGGAGAGAGGTAGAGGGTCAATACAGTATACATCCTGATAATGTGCTTCTCAAATTTATCAAGTATTTAACAAACAAGGAAAGAAAGAAAACAACACAGAAAAGAAAGAAAAAAAAAAAAAAAAAAGCAACCCGTCAAAATGTTACCTTTGGTAGAAAAAAAAGTAAAACATGTAACAAAACACTAAAACACACTGCACCAGGCACTGCTCAATAGGAACAGTGAGTGCTGCAACATCATGGTGATGAACATTCTTTTGCTGGGTCCAAAAAGCTACAAATACAATCACAAAGTCAGAAGTATTCTCATTCCCTTCAAATACTTGGTGTTTCCAATCAGGATTTCAGAATCCCCCCTAAAAGGATCTATTTGAAGATATTCAAAAAGAGTTATAAAACATTTTCCTCTTGAAGAGAAAGAGACCTAAAGGTCTTTGTCAGGAAGTTCCTCTAATTGGTGAGATCATCCAGTAGTTTCATAACACTGAACAACAAGGAAAAGCATGTGTCTCCTGACCCTTTAGGGGTCAGGAGAGGTTGGTTAAGAACTACTTAAATTTATGACTGCATATACCTGACATCTTTTTAAAGGTTCGATGGTTTCTTAGAGAAACAGTTCCAGATTTATGAAAATAGTTGCTCTACAAGTAGCTTCTCACTTCCACCTACTTCCCACTGGATTAATACTGTTCTCTTCAAGACCCTTTGGATGCTAACATGAGGTAGATGAAACTTGCACTAAAAGTGAGGTAGAACCAGAACATTCAGTCAGTATGGGATGTCCTGTACTCCAGCACATATGAGATGTCCTGTGGACTGTGTCCTGTATCCTGGAGCCCACAGGAAGCATGAGAAAGCTGCAGGGCCTGGGGAGGCTCTAGCCCCAGACAATCATCATGTGCAAGCACAGTTTGACTTTTATACAGCCCCAGACTGTTGGAAACTCAGTGAGAGATGTTCTAAATAAACACCGTAAATACTTTTTGGCACCACTGAATTTTTTAAACAACAGAAAAAACAAGCCTAAAACTTTGGCATATCTTTCACTATCTACCAGAATACAGCAATCGTAGAATTTTCCAAATAAGAAGACAACACATAATATAAACAGTACTCTCCTGCTTCAAGCCTAAAAGACATCCCACCTGAAATAAGCTTTGGCTTAACTAGGGCAAAAATAGGCTGAGATGACTTCAAGCTATTCTCTTCCAATGTGGTAACAAAGTGCCTTGTTTCTGGCAACTTCTTTGGCCCAAAAAATGATTTAGGTTCTGTTCCTGGTACTCTTCTGTGTTTCCCTAACTGATTAAGGACTTAGTGCACTTGGAGTACAGCTGAGGCCACTGGGCTCCAGCTGAGTGCAACCTACCAGCCACAACAGAATGCCAATGGGTTCCTCCAAATATATTGAACTTTACATCCCCCCCCCTTGCCCACTCCTGCCACCTGACCACATCAGACCTACATGGGGACCATCATCTATCCATTTATTCCTTAGAGACATTTTATTCTCCCAAGCCTTAACTTTTTAACCCACTGAAGACTCTCCTCTTTGACCCAACTCTTAACTTCTAAGGCATCGCCTTATTATGAACGGGAGATAAGCATTAGAACACATACATTTTAGACAGTGTCTTACTAGGGGAGTACCAAATGTTGGCTTTTATCATTTTTCATTGATTTGGAATAATCCACATTATACAAAACACACTCTCTCCAAAGTGCTTAGCACCAATCCCTAAGGGTCAGGAATCAATCTCCAGCAGCCACAAATGACCAACTGTTTTATAAACAAAAGTTTCCCAAATGTGACCATGTGTTGCAGATGCCGCTTTTTGAGTTCAGAAAGGTAAAGGGCCAAACTAACACACACAGGAGCCATGGGCAGGAAGGCCCTACTCTGCAAACTCACCTCAGAAGAGGACCTTGCTTGCTCTAAGACTGCAACCTGCTTGCTGTATTAAGATCTGACAATTTCAGCCATGAGGCAGAAAGCCTGGCTTTACATCCAAATCCAAGTGAAATGAAATGTTAAGTAGTTCTATCTACTATTCACCAACTCAATTTTTCATTCACCACCAATATCTCCCCATATGTGAGAAAGCTAGGAAGGAAACAGAATGAAGACAATGTTGGAAATGAAAAAGAATTTAAAAAAAAAAAAAAAAAAAAGTGACTAACTGAAATGACTTTCCCCAGTCACAATTAGAACTGAGAATATTTTTATCAAGATGCTTTTCTTCAATAAAATAAATTTTAAGCATTAAAAACCAGTTGTCTTTGGTGTTTAAACAATCATCTGGTGGAGAGTTGAGGAGGCAGGAAGACCATCTCCAAATTAGTCCAACAAACAGAACTAGTAAAAAGGCAGTGTTCTCTGGCAAAATTAAAGGTAACTGAACAGGAATTAGGAAAAGATTCACTTAAAAAATTCAAAAGAAAAAGCCCATGTACCAAACAAGATTTCTTAATGCCTCCCTCATTAGGAACTCAGCAGCTGGAAGAACAGTGGAAGATCTTTCCAATTTGTGCATCTCTGATTGTGTGCAGATCTAGACGTATTAGCACCCCGCACCCTCATTTTGGTAACTCAGAAACCCCAGAAATAAAGCAATGAAAGAAGGTCTCTCAAAGTGATAAACTGTCTAAAAGAAATGGGTGGGGAAAGTAATATTATTGACTTGTCACATTAATTCATCTCTTTTGGACTAGAAAAAGTAAATTGCGCCATTTGTGAATCTTTCTGCCATTTTAAAAAAAAAAAAAAATCTACTTTTAGCCAGGGATTTAGCTCAGCAGCACAAGCACCTGCCTGGCAAGCATGAGGTTGTGAGTTCGATCCCCAGTACCAAAAACAAAAAACAAAACAAAAAAAAAAAAAAAAAAAAAAAAAAACAACCAACTACTTTTGTGACAGAAATCTCTCAAACACACAGGAATCAAAATTGACACATTACACTGCCTGTTTCAAATAAAGGTTGCCCTTCCAAGCCACTGAACATCTGAGAGCATCTATTTTTCCTAAGGATAGCTACCCCAGAATTTGGTTCTTTCTTCAGTATCTGGGGGACTGAATAAATGGACCCACTTGAGTTCTAGAAAGCAGGAATTTAGTTATACTTGCTTTCCAAAGGAAAGGCAAAAAATACCTAGAAGCATAAAGTTTTGTACCTAAGTCCAACTCACGAAAACCCAATTCTGTAGAGTAACACATATGCCACCACCTCCCCCAGCCCTATCCCACAGAATGAGGCTGGCTTACACATACTCATTCTTTGGTACTAAGTTATATAGGTTTCAAAAAAGTTATTCCATCTTACTTTTCAGGTTGGAGTGATTTGGTTTACAAATCCTTTACATTCAAAGGCATTGGGAGAAAATTCACCTTAGCCAGGAGGTCCTTCTTGCAGGATGCCTCAGGAGCAACAATCCTGTAAAAAGTGACCTGCCAGAGTTCGTAAATGGACTGTTTCCATTAATTTGAGGTTCAAACATTGTATTTCCCTGAATTTCCAAAGTTGGAAAAAATTGTGCTTTTAAAATAAAAGTTTATTCTTCTGCCTAAATTTCTTAGGAAAATAAACTCCTAGCATTACAGAACATTCACTTTGTGGTCAGGGGTCAGCCCCACCCCCGCAGAACAACCTTAGTTAGGGGGTGCCTTGCTTCCCTAGTGCCTTCTACTTCTCTCAGCATGGCAGTCCATGTCTGAAAACCCTCTGAGAACGAGGTTCATTCTCTGCTTACATTTAATGTTTAACCACCAACAAAATAAGAATACTCAATTTTTGAGAATACTTTTAATTAAGAATCCTGAGCTATAATCTATTTTTTAGAAATCAACATGCTAACACAATATGTTTCCTAGGATGTAGTGTGTCATTTTCAGCTTTATTATTTGGGTACAAGATGACTTTAAAATACACACATACATCCTACCTTAAAAGATAAAGACTAGATACCCTAAAACATGAATGGTCTGCTTTTCTTGGCTAGCAAGCCACAGCCATATCTCCTAGGAATAAGAAAAGATGTTGAAGATGTGAGACACACTGAGGTAATAAAATAGAACAAAGGAAAACTCCTCTGTTGCAGCATTAAAAAAAATTTTTTTCCAAAAAAGATCAAACCACAACACAATCTAACTCTAACACCACAACATTATTAAGAACACAAATACTCTACCATTATGAATTTTAAATCCTATTCTTCCCCCAGATTTAATATAGTTTTTGTTTTTCTCCTACTGTTTCCTTGCCACAAAAGCTACAGAATCCACCCCCACCACATACATGCAGTGTCATCCTGTCCCCCGTCAACCCCCCCCCCGCAGAGATGCTAGGCTTGTGCATTTCACGCCCCATACCAGGGAAGAGGGAAATGAAGACTCCACTGGGTAAGGGAAGACAGCCTGTTGGAGAAGGAAATGTGAAGACATATGAGGTAGATAGAAATTATCACTTCACAGGCTCAATCCCTGCACAAAAGATAAGTACATTCATCTGTAAAAAAATAAAGATGAGGTAGGAATTAAGCAATGTTGTACTTTCTTGTTCTCTTTAAAATAAAGAAAGAAAAAAATTTCCCTGAGACTGCTGCTTCTTCTTTGAAATTCAATGAGAGACACACACACGCACAACCCAGACATAGAAACCTAGTAGATGCAATTAGAAGATGAGGATTCGATTGTTGCCAAAGTCCACCACAACGATCATTCCTTCAGGGGTAATAGCAATGCCAGAAGGACGGTCCATTTGCCCAAAGCCGCTGCCCTGAGTACCAAACTTGCACAGGAAGCTGCCATTGGCCTCGAACATCTGTACCCGGTGGTTCCTGGAATCAGCCACGATGATGCGTCCTTCCTGATCCACCGCCACGCCTTGTGGACGCAAGAACTGCCCATTGCCAGTGCCCTCAGAGCCCAGGAAGCGAGCTGATTGACAGTCAGGGTGAATAACCAGCAGCCGGTGGTTGTTGAAGTCAGTGACCACCAAGTGACCCTCCTGGTTGAAGGCCACACCCCTTGGGGAGTCAAAGTGCTTCCAGAGGGCCCCCTCGAAGCCGTACTTATTTAAGAAGACCCCATCAGGCCCAAACAGCTGAATCCGATGGTTACGGGTGTCAGAGACCAGGATCTTGCCCTCAGAATTCACTGCTACGTCCCAAGGATAGTTGAACTGCCCATTTTTGGTTCCTTTCTCACCAAACTTGAGGAGGAACTGGCCCTCAAAGGTGAAGATCTGGATACGATGATTGTCCTTGTCAGCCACTACAATCCTCCGGGAGGTGTCACAGGCCACTCCAGCAGGTCGGTCAAACTGCCCAGGCCGGGATCCCAGGGTGCCAAATTTGTGGTGAAAGGAGCCACAGGGCTTAAACACCTGGATGCGGTTATTGCTACGGTCAGCGACAATGATGTAGCCCTCTTTGTCTACACTCACACCCCAAGGGCGACAGAGCTTGCCATCACTGTCACCCTCACTGCCAAAGCTCAGTCCCGGGAGCCCAATGCCCACATAACTGCGGCCTGACTTGACCACCACCTTGAAGGGGCTGTTCTCAATATGCTGGTTGCACATGGTCACTGATACCAGATGCTCACCCTCAAGCTGGGGCCGGTAGCTCACCACGTAAGTTCCATTCTGCTGATCACTCACGTCTGCCCCAAACAGGTTGCCATCAGGGCCTAGCACCACAGCTGACATTAGGTCACCTCCTGAGAGGCGGGGCTCACCATCATGGTCATAGCCAATGACAGTGAATGAGGCCACCTTACCCTGGAGGGCCCGCTTGAGGCCATCACCTGTGGCCTTAGTGAGAGGTGCAAAAGCCCCACTGCTAACAAAGCCAAAGGACTTGATGGCAAGGTACAGTGCCTGGTCAGGAGGTGTGAACATAACCCGATCATCTTCCTGGGGCTGCAGGAGGCTCCTCACAGTCTTTAACTCCTGAACCTGGGCCAGCATCCGGTCTCGGGCAAGCAGTATGTCTAGTGCCCTACCCTCCTCTAGGACCTGCTGGACAGCACTGATGGTGCTCTCCAGCTTGTTGAGGTTTTGCCGTAGCTTTTCTACCTGCAGATATAGAGACTTGGCTTTCACTTGGCGGATCTTCTCTACCTAGAGGAAAAGGAGATACAGCAAAGCCTTAGAACCCAACACGAGGGAAAAAACAAACAAATAAACAAACAAACAAAAACAGAGAAACTCATACTGAGAGCTAATCTACAAAAGACAACTGGAGTGGCTGGGGGTTTAGCTCAGCAGCATAAGCACCTACCTGGCAAGTGCAAGGTCATGAGTTTGATCCCCGGAATCAAAAAGGTAACTGGGATCTGTACTCTTGAAAACAGCGGAATTTAAAAATAAACAAACACACAAACAAACAAACAAAAAAAACAGCCCAAAAGGGCAGGCATCATGGTGCACTAAGAAGTCTGACGCAGAAAGATCACAAGTCATGGCCAACCAGGGCAACACAGAAAGTCCAAGGCCAACCTGGACTACTGAGCAAGATGCTGTTTCAAAAAGGTTACAAGAGATGACCTAATGACTAAGTGCAATAAGTAACCCTGAAATAAATGGGTGTGGGTGTTTATGTGGGTTTGTGTGCGACAGGACACAACACAGGATGGCAGGGATTAAGAACACTGTTGGAGGTACACTGTCAGACACAACTCAGTAGAAAAGCTTGTGCCCAGCAGGTGTTAGTTATCAATATGGAGAACTGAAAAAGAATAAATACACAAACACTGTAGCTTTAACTATGGACTGACATTGTATAATGGTATTGTGTCAAGATGAACTTCTTGATTTTGACAATCATACTGCAACCTTGGAAGACAATGTTCTTGTCTACAGGAAATAAACGTGATCTCTTTAGGGGCAAAGAGGCTATGCCTCCTAAAATTCTAATTTATCCTCAAATCACAGATACTTAGGTCTCAGTATCTGCAGGATTTACATCCATAGATTCAATAATAGATCAAGAATACGTTGGGAAAAAACCTATGCCTGTGCAAAACACATAAAGACTGTTCCAGATCATAATTCATAAATTAATGTAACGATTACTGTACTCTGGAAAGCTAAGACAGGAAAATCACAAACATGCACCCAGCCTGGGCACTTGGCAAGACTGAAAATCAAAATTAGAAACATTGATCAAGAATACACCTCAGAGGGCTGGGGATTTAGCTCAGCGACATAAGTACCTGCCTTGCAAGCAGGCGGTCGTGAGTTCGATCCCTGGTACCAATAAAAATGAAAAAGACAAAAAAAAATTTGAAAAAAAACAAAAAAGAATACACCTCAGTGGGGGCTGGGGATTTAGCTCAGCACCATGAGCACCTGCCATCCAAGCAGGCGGTAGTGAGTTGGATCCCTGGTACCGATAAGAAGTTAAAAAAAAAAAAAAAAATACACCTCAGTGCTAAGACCCACTCCAATCTCTAGTACCTCCAAAAAGAAAAGAAATAAAAAATTCTGCTTAGTATTGCAAGTAATCTAGAGATTATGTAAGTATATTAGAAGATTTGCAAAGGTTGTATGCAAATACAAGGATATTTTATATGAAAGATTTGCACAGCCACAGATCTTGGTATCTATCTGTGGGGGAAGACCTGTAACCAATCCCACAAATACTAAGGGAAGACTATATTTATATATTTAGAAGCATGAAGTGAAATAATCAATGAATCTGGGTAAAGGATATAGGGAATTCTCATTACTGTAATTATTCCTAACTTAGAAATTAAACAGAAACGGGGGGGGGGGGGGGGGACACGACTGTCATCTAACAAATGCAAACCAAGAATTTATTTTGTGCCAGGCTCTTGAGATAATACAGTGGCCAGCTGAAAATATAATGTCTGTCCTCACATTTCTCAAGTTATGAAGCAAGGAAAAGTCACTTAAGGTATCACTTGGCAGTTAAAAAGAACAAACATAAGACAGGCCATGGCTAGGGAGCCTGACTTTGGTAGTACAGTCTCCTTCACAAGTTCAAACCCAAGACATAGATATAGGTTTGTTTGGCATTTCAAAAAAGCAGTTCCTTTTTGTTTTGTGGTCCTAAAAACAGAAGCCAGGGGGCCTTCCACACACAAAATAAATACTTCATGATGCCATCTATATCACAGGTTTTTTTTGTTTTGTTTTGGTTTGGTTTTTTGGGGTCTTTTTGAGACACGGTCTCACTATACAGTTGAGGCTGGCCTTGAGCTTACTTTATAGACTAGGCTGGTCTGGAACTCACAAAGATCCTCCTGCCTCAGCTTCCCTAGTGCTGGGATTACAGGTGTGAGCCACCACACCCAGCAGATTTTTGTTTCTTTAAATTTGTTTTTATTTTGTATTTTTGTCTTTCTGAGATAACTACACAGTTCAGGCTGGTCTCAAACTTGCCACAATCCACCTGCCTCAGCCTCCCAAATGCTGGAATTACAGGAGTGCACCACCACACCCGGCTTGTTTTTTTTTTAAATTTTGAGACAGTCTTACTAAACTGCCCAGGGTAGCTTGAATTATTTCACTCTGCCTTAGCGTCCAAGTTAAGCCCAGTTTTAGACAATGAAGTGATATGAATAGATTTACATTGTCAAATGACTGGCTTTCTGGACAGCGTGTTGGAGAGAAACAAAAATAAGAAAATGGAGTAAACGGAAACCAGTGGGAGTGAATATAAGGAATGAATGTAGCTCAGGCAACAGAGGTGACTGTATGGGGTACAGAGAAAACAGAAAAGATACCACAGGTAGAACCAACAAGATAGAAAGACTGTGTCCATGAAAACACTACACTCTGGGAGACAGATCTCTTGAGTAACCTGTTATTATTTGTCTCTCTCATTCATATACACACGCACACACACAATGAAAGATTTTGCTTGAACGGGCACAGAGCTTGCCTGGCAAGGCCCTGAGTTTGATTCCCAATAATAACAAAAACAAACAAAATGTTTTCCATGAAGGATGTGATAGAACTTAGTGGGAGAAACAATTCAAGATCACAAAAATCTCCCACAACCAACTTCTCTTCATGTCCGTTATTTTAGTTTTCATGTGGTGCTAGGGATCAAATCCAGGGACCTCACACATGTTAGGCAAGTGCTCTACCACTAAGTTTCATCCCTAGCATTAACTTATTTTAAGAACAGGGTTTTAGGGCTGGAGATTTAGCTCAGTGGTGTAAGCGCCTGCCTGGTGAGTGACAAGGTTGTTAGTTTGATTCCCCACACAAAAACAAACAAACAAACACCAATAAAAAAAACCCAGGTTTTAGAAACTCATCTGGAGGGGCTGGGGATTTAGCTCAGCGGCATAAGCGCCTGCCTTGCAAGCAGGCGGTTGTGAGTTCGATCCCTGGTACCAAAAAAAAAAAAAAAAAAAAAAAAACAGCAGAAACTCATCTGGTGACCAGAAAGTCCTTGTATCCCTATACTGAGATGGCACAATGTTCAACCTGCGTGTTTCCAAAGGAGTCATCTGTACCTACAATGTCCTAATAGATGACATGTATTCTGATTTGTTCAAATACTTATTTCTGCAGTTCTCCAAAAACAAAAAAGCCAAATCCTAGTTCACAGATAATGTGGGTATGTGTGTGTGTGGATTGTCAAATCAATAAAATACAACAATTTTTCCATTCTTAAAAAATTGAAATACTCAGAAGTCTCCTAATTGTAAAATGATTCACTCTGTGAAGAGAATGAAGTTATCAACTAGTTTTGACTGTTTGCAGAGGACCCCTAGTTGTGTGTGCTCTAATGATCTAAAAGCCATGGAGTCAGAATAAGGGCCCACTGTTTTGAGGCTGGATTTCAATCTGAATTTCCCTTGAGGCATGATGACGTGATTTTTGACCCATTCATGCTTTTCATCTGTTCACTATGGAACCACGACATGTGTGCAGAAAGAGGGCCACACGGGTTCAGTGAAAGAGAGGTTTTGTTTGTCCTTTGGTCTAACTTCTACCTTTAGATCTGAGCCATGAAATACATATAAAGTAGCAGACTCCACTAAAAAGTTACAAAAGATAGGAAGGAAAAAGAATGTCCAGAGAAAGCTGAATTGCCCAGCAATTTAAGGCTTAATCCTTACATACACATCTCTTAGGGTTCAATTCAGAGATTCAAGAAAATGAAATATAACAAAGAAATACCCAGACAAATATAAGTAGAAAGGATTTTCAGGCAAAGAACAGAAAATGTGTAATTAATCGAGAGGGGGATTCTCACAGGTTACGGATAAGAATCCACAGCAAAAAGTAAAGATAATAGGGATACACAGGTCTAGAATAAATAAGCTTATTTTGGTATTATCTCTTGAGACTGAGTTTTTGGCAAGTAGAAACCATTTCCTATATTCACAAAAGGTTGGTTTTTCATCCAAATGTGTATCTACTGCAAACCTGATTTCCATTTCCCCTGAAGAGAAACGCCTTAAACAGACGGTAGGTCAGCCTCACAGGAGTGCAGCTAAGGTGAGTCACAGAAACCCTCACACACAAAGGCCTTTTTCATCAGGAAATGCAGAAGAGCGAGTTTGTGGCAGAGTTCACTACAAAGTTCTCAGGTTGCAAGAAGCAGGCCCCTCCAGTTATAATTAACATTCGTGGGTGGCATGAGACTGGCAGGCCCATGGGGACATGAGTGTCTGAAAACTGTCATGCCACAAAGGTACTCAAAACACGCTGAGAGCAAACTCTGGTCTAATACCTCCAATACACACTGTCTCACATTATTTTGTTGAAAGGCAAGTAAGCCATAGCCCTTAATATGGGCCTTAAAATAGAATAGAAGAGCAGGAAGAAAGGAGAGCTGTGCAGTTAACTGAATAGAAAATGCAATGTGAAGTCCAACGTGACCCTACAGAGCATTCAGGGGTACGGTGGTTAGTGAAGGTCACTTAAAGAAACTGAGATATTAACCATCATAGGCATCTTAATAATGCTAAGATGAAAACAGGCCCACAAATGGAGGACAATTCTTTAAAATCACCTACATGGTCTTATTTGTGTGTTCAGATAATGTAATTATAGTTAAAGCATTGTTCTGGGAGAGCAGCCCATGAGGAGATGTTAATCTCCTCCTTCCTGAGGGGAATGTAAAATCAGAGGAGAAACTGAAATGTGACTTTTGTGGGGTGAATGATTTTCCCAGCTGATTTTATCTAAACAGCACACCAGTGTGCTCCGTACTTTTTCCTGCTCCAACAGGAAGAAAGGGCACATACACAGTGCCCTGAGCTGGCTTTCCACACAGAGCCAGGAAGTGCAACCAGCCAGGACCCAAAAATAAGGATGTTTCCTACAAGCCTGCCTTTACTAACAACAGTTAATTGTTTTCCCTTGATCTGCAGCCTTTTGAGCATGTACACTATAAAGGTTGAGACTCTTCAGAGTCTTGCATACCCAATTACTTCTAAACAGGCTCCTTATCTTATTGCACAGAGTATCCACAATGTTCCAGGACCTCCTGCTTCTTTCTGGAAAATTTCCTAGCACTCTTGAGTGTGAGTCCAGGATCTCAAACCAGGATCCTGACAAAGTTCAGCTGAGGTACACAGTAAATTAGCAGGACAGCTCGGGCAGGGGTACACAAGTGCTCCGTTACCTTCCACAGCAGCTCGCACTCACGCTCCTCCAGGGCCTTCTTATGCCTTGCAGTAACAGCTTTCACCTCCGACTGCACCACCTTGGCCTTCATCTCCACCTGCTCTGCCACTGTCTGGGCCTGCTCGATGCTCAGCTGAAGGGGGAAAAAAATCAAAATCCTACTTTTAAAGCATTAGCCTCACTTACGCAGTTAAATTTACTTCTATGAGACCTACAAACAGGCCACCCCTAGACCACTTGATCCAATTCCTTGGAAAGAAAGCAAGCACTTGGGGAAAGCTTGGCATCTGTTTGACATGTAATTGAAGGAGCTGCTGGCAAGGACTAGGTTTCTTTGTGTAAGAAATAGCACCTACACAGTGAATGTCAGACCATTAAGAGCTACTTTGACACAGTGAAACCAGTGTAGCTGGGTGACTGCCGAAAACTAGAAAGAGGATCAGATGTGCAACTCTGGCAAAAAGAAACTTTCCAGACTCTCTGGTCTTATTCCCTGCCTCAGAAAAATCCACATTCAGAGTAGTAGCTAATCTATCATGTTCTTGCTTAGCCCTCAGTAATTCAGCTTATGCTAGCTTGAATTAACACCAAGTACACACCAGGAAAACTGCCTCATCCTCCCTGTGGTCAGGGACAATGTACACACTACCACACTCACACCCTATACCAACAGCCCTAGTAAATCAGCCAGTTTAATCAGCCATATTATTGTTGTTCATAAAAGATTAATCCAGGCAGAAGGCCAGTGTTTTCATTAATGTTATACGGCATGTCTTAAAACGCAACAAGGAGAGCAACAGGTTTTACAGCAGCTGATTCAGCTCCAAGTACCCAGGACAATACAAGGTGTTCACGTGGAACCAGGACCCAAGAGGAAGAAGTAGTGATGACAAACAATCCGAGTCACTTGGAACAATTACGGAAGGCTCTGTGACATAAGCCTGCTGGACAAAGCAGGCTGGGGGTTAAAACCTTGGCGGCAGGTATCTAAAGTTCAAATAACTGAAGCTTAGGGCCTGGGCCTTGAATGTGTCTCTAGTCCTCAGTGTGAGGGAAAATACAAGGTGAAACGTGGGACAAATCAAGCACCTAACACAGTCAGACATTATTACTAATCATTCTCAGATGATAAATACTTCAACTCACTATTTCTGCTCAACACACTTCACTGTGTCATCAACGAAGTCAGATCATGTACTTAGGCAAATTCATATTTCTTCCTTTTGAATCTGAATGGTGGTAAAATACAGAAAATTTACTACTGCCATTTTATCCATTTTGTGTTGTGCAACTAATCATCACTATCTAGTTCCAGAACATTTCCACGAGTCCAAAATGAAATTCCATATTCATTATATAGGTATTTTCGACAAGGAATTTAGCTCAGTGGTATAAGCACCTACATAGCAAGCGGAAGATCATCAGTTCAATCCCCAGTACCAAGCCAATAACAAAAAAAGTAAGAATGGGTACCTTCAGCTCCTCTGTCTCTCATGGAAACTACTAATTAATTCACCATAATTAAAGATATCTGTTATGTTTTATATAAATGGAACCACACACAAACTTGTCCATTTAAAAATGAACACTCTTCTATTCCAGTAGTTTTAACTTCTGTGTTTTATGACTGGGGTCCTACTTACCATCTCTAATCCTCTGAGTCTGGATGACCAACTCAGTATCTGACCAAATTTATGAGTGTAACATTCCTTAACATAACAATAAAAAGCAGAGATACCAAACTGCCTGTTCTTGTACCCATGTTCTATTTCCCAAACTGATTTTTTTTTTTTTTTCATTTAAAGAAGGGAAAAAAAAAAAAAAAAAAAGCTAATGTGGAAATAACCTATCAGGGGGCCCAGGATTTAACTCAGCAATGTAAGCTCCTGCCTGGGAAGCACAAGGTCATGAGTTCAACTCCCAGTACTCCCCCCACAAAAAAGAACCTAGCAGGCTGATACTCCTACAGGGTAAAGACTGATGAAAGACAGTAACAACTGCTCCCTCTGCATAGGGACCAGCTAACCACCCCACCCACCTCTATCCCGCCTATCTCTTGACTCGTTTTATATTTTCAATCAGCTTCCTGATGGGCTTGGTATTTGTAGCAAGAAATACAGCAAGACTGTTTCTTTCATTTTTCAGACAGGTACAAAGGATTCAAAACTTTAATTGCCAATCTCAGTAACCACCAAGCACTCAAGGATAATTCATCATCATTTAGGCTGGAAGTCATAAAGCACTATATATAGAAGCAAATTGGTTTTCCTAAAACATACTAACACATACAGACCAGACTTGTTAAACTAGTTCCCAATCTCTAAGGCCTAGCACTGGGAAATACTGTAAAATAAGTGAGGAACACAAGTTGTGGGGAAATGATAATAGTAGGCAAAAAGAGAGTAAATTTCTAAAATAAAAAGCACATTTCTTAAGTAGAACAAATTGCCCAAAGAGTATGTACTCAGGAGAATATTTTATCACCCTTTAGAACATTAACAGAACCAGTCAAACATATGAAGGTGGGGTCTAAAACTGGGAGGCTGAAGTGGTGCCTGCCAGCCAACTATTGAGCAGTGGCTAGTTAGAACAGAGGAGTCTTAGGCCAGACCTGGATTAAGAGAAGGAATGCAGATACTAATGAGTGACATCTGCTACAGTGGTGGCTTTTCAATAGCTACTTAAAGACCTTCAAGGTTACAAGGTAATAAGAGAATGAAGGTATTACCCACACACTTGGACTGGATACTGGACTACTTAAATTGATAAAAATTAATGACATCTTAAATCTGATGTAAGATGTAAAGTATCAAAGCTTTCCTCCATAAAGCAATTATTTCTGGTCCCATGTATCAATGTCTCCAGGGAATTAGTGCACCTTATAAAATTTTGTAATTATTTACTGGACTTAAATGTTACACCTTCAGTAAAACAGGCAGTGTGAAAGCAATGGAATGTTTTTAAAAGCAATAAAAATAAAGTGAGGCCTGGTGGGATCTGGCTGTAATATCAGTTACTCACTCCAGAGGCTGATGCAGGAGAAATATAAATTCAATGCTACACTGTCTCAAAATTCAAATGAAAGGGGCTGGGGATGTAGCTCAGGAGTAGAGCATTCAAGGGCTGCATTTGCAATACTCCCCAAAAAAGGAAAAAGACAGGGGGGGATTTAGCTCAGCTGTGTAAGCAAACCCAAGGTTGCAAGTTTGATCCCTGGTACCAAAAAACAAAACACAACAAGAAAGAAAAAAGGCCATAAAAGCAAGTAATTACTTTTTAAATGACCTAAAGTACTGACAAGATAAAATGCAGAGGTCTACCATTATTTCTTTGCTGAGAGAAACGCCAGCCCAATGAGATTCTCTTCAGAGGACAACTGAGAATTAATTCAAAGACCTATATATGGATCTCTTTCCACAACTAACATTCTCATGACAAGCCAAGTCCCTTTGTTATAACTCAAACTCTTGACTCTTAGTCAATTGTACATCTGACACATGTAATTTAATACCTATTAAGAAAAACCCAGCTATTCAATGGGAAATGAGCCTTAAATAACACCATTTGCATCCCAAAATGGTTTTACAGCTTTGGACAAGCACACAAACTAATCTCGAGGGTGTCAAGATAGAGGAAAACAACTGTCTAATGTAACAGCATGTCACTGCTGAGGTTAATAATGTGCTGGCTGTATGAAGTATGGAGCTGCTGCATTGTTACAGGACCATAACATGGACTACCAAGCCTCCTGATTCCAGCAAATTAAAAAAACATGATCAGTGGTGTCAGTAACAGTCCAGAAGAATCAGGCATGGTGGTGCATGCCTGTAATCCCAACACTTAGAAGGCTGAGGCAGAAGAACTGCTGCAAATTCAAGGCCAGCCAGAACTGCATAGCAAAATCCTGTCTTTAAGGAAGGAAGGAAAGAAGGTAAAAGGAAGGAAGGGAGGACGCATGGATGGACAGGAGGGAGGTAGGGAGGGAGGGAGGGAGAACTTAGCAGAGGTTAACAGGCTAAGGTACAGCTCAGTAGTAAGGCACTTGCCTAGCATGTGGGGCAGGCCCTGGGTTCAATCCCCACTGACAGGAAAAAGAAAAAGCCAAAAACAAAGGCAGTCCACACAGACAAAACTGGTAAGCAGATACTGAAGCACCCAATCCTCAAGTAATACTAAGCAATAATATACTGTTCAATATCACTGATACTCATTTTCTAAGGACTTAAACCGAATGGCAGATTTGGTCAATTCTTTTTACTTTTGGATATGTTTTGGCTCATGAAATTGGTCAGCAGGGAACTGCTAAGCTTAGTGCCTCTGGCCTCAGAACTACCCAACAAAAAGGGAAACCAAGGAAGCCTGAGCAGATCTGTCAACTGGGATTTACTTAGAGTACACTAAGATTATCCAGCTTACCCACCAACAGAGTATGAAGGGGCTAACCCTGTGGCAGCTCAGGGTCAGCCAGAAGAGAACTCCATCTGTGTCCTCCACAGATGAAAGCCAGGTTTGGTAACTAGAGTGGTATCACCACCAAGGGAGGGTGGGATAAATACCTGAGGCCTGATCCACTGCTAGTCTACTTGGTGGCCTGAGGCTACTTGTTTCCTTTGTATCAAAAACTCTAAAAAAGAATAAGAAAAAAGGAAGAAAAAAAAAAAAAGAATTCTAAAAAAGGGCATGTGAAAAAAATTTAATTCACTCACGTGTGTTGAAGTTCTTGAAATATGATTTCTTCTAAGACTAGGGAGAGGTAGAAGACAACAGAGTGTGTGTGTGTGTGTGTGTGTGTGTTGACATACACACACACCCAGACTCCTAGATGAGAACTGACCACTGGGAGAGAGACAGAAGAAAAACAGAAAAAGATACAATAAATGTGATAGCTAGGGCTGGGGATTTAGGTGAGCAGTGTGACAGTACCTGTCTGGCAAGTGCAAGGTTGTAAATTCAATCCCTGGAACAACAACAACAAAAAAAAGTGATAGCTAGAGCTCCAGGAATCATTCTGGGACACTTAGGGATGAAGACCTATAAAAAAGTTTCTCAAGACTACCTTCATCTCTAGGCTTTTTTTTTTTTTTTTTTTTTTTTTAAAGCAGGAAAGACCGAAATTATGAGTTTTTAACCCAC